AACTTTATATATGTGTTAACTTCTATTGTTGTTGTTGTTATTGTTATTATTATTATCATTATTATTATTATTATTACTGTTTCTCTGGAGCTGTTCAATTTTGCTTGCAAAATCATTTATTACTCTTCCTAGAGAAATACTAAGAACCAAGACAGGTATAGGGCTGACTGGTCTCAACATTGGTTTTAGCCTTCAACTTATAACTTCTGGATTTAATATGGCCTCCTCAGGCTCAACTGTGTCCAATGTACTCTTGCTTTATCTTCAGAGAATAAAACCTATAGTCTGCTGCTTGGGTGGGGTGGGGCAGTTATCATGCTACTGAGAGATAGTCTCTTTAGATCTATCTGTTTTTAAGACATTCTTATACTAAATTCTAGTTTTGTTTGACCCATGTGCCTTTTGGCTTTAAGAAGCCAGAACTGCCAAATCTCTAGAACTTTGAGATGGGGGTGGGATTCCAAAGGTTGGTAACTCAGTTACAATTCATCTGTCTACCTTCCAGCCTTCAGAATTTTGTTTCTGTTTCACATTTTCCCATTCTCCTTTCCTTCATGATTTCATGCCATAGGAAAGAGCATGTGTTCAAAGTTGTGTTCAACCTAACATCTTTGCCAGAGTTCTTGGTATTTTTACATAAAAATAGCACAGGACAATTTGGTAGCAGTATACTCTCTTTCTTAAAAAAAAAAAAAAATAGAATTACAAAAATACCTTCTACTGCATAGTGTGTTTACATATGTTATCTTCTTTGGTCTTCACGATAACCCTGTTAGTTTGGCAAATATATTTCACTACTATGGAAACTGAAATTTGAAGAGATTAAGTATTTGCGTAAAAACATATAGTGCGTTAATAAAAGATATAGAACTAATGATCATTACTTATGACACAGCCCCATTTTATCCTAAATTTATCTATATATGACTTAAGTGAAGGTAATCAGTTATTACTGAGTGATCAGGTTTATAGAGAAAACACATCTTAAGCCTCATATTCAGTCTAAGAGTTTGTTTCAAATCCTTTTTTTCAAATGCTTTATAGGTCATCTTTAAATTTAAGGCTTTCAGAACAATAAATGCTCAGCAGATTTTTGTTTCTAAACCTGTGATTCACTTCAACACCTTCATTACTACTAATAATAGAAATAATAAAATTGTCCAGAGATGTTAAGGATTAGTTCTTTTTTTTCAATTTTCTATAGGAATAGTAATAGGTAAGATTTGAATAGCTTAATAGGTCTGAATTTTAGAAATTTACCTTGATTTATTTGAAATTTCTGGGAAAGATTAATGTGGATCATGCAAACATGACTTGCCTCTATGCAAGAGGGATTAAATGATAGAAAATCTAGTAGTGTGTATTTTACTTAACACTTATAACGTGCTGAGTAATAAAAGCCAGATAAAAGCTGTCCTTGAATTTTAAATGTCCTCTTTCTGCTTACCTGAACCTACATGTAGAGATCTAGATCAGCCAAGAATTATCACACCTAAAATAAACAAAAAAAGAGTCTACCAAGGTAGTGATGGTGGTTAGTCATATTTCCCACGTCTTTCTGCACCGAGTTGTGTTTTACAACCAGAACTGAGAGATACAAAGAAGTGACTATTAAATTGAAAATTGTGGTTAAATATCAGCAACAACAGAAACGGTGAGCAAGACACAGACGAGTGTTAGAGGAATGACCTCCAGGGACTCAGAGACTAGTGTGTGACCAGCAGATATCATGTTTCTTAAATTGGGTTTTTGTATTATGAGAATTAAAACAATTTGTGTGACTTTCTATACACATGTATTTTGCAATTATTAGAATAATAGAAATACTTATATTTTCACCAGACAATAAGGAAGAAGAATAAAGCTGTACAAAAATCATAGACAATAGATTTCTGGAAATAAGCAGTTAAATGAGAGATTCTTAAATAACAATTGAAGGTAGAAAATGATTAGTTTTAAAATAAGTGTAAGTAGTGCTTTTGGAAAGTGTTCAAAACAAGGAAAAATCACTCCAGGAAAGACTTTCAAGAACTTTAAATGAATATATATTTTGTGAAATTCTCATTTTGCCTGTTAAAGATTAGTTTATAGAT